CCAGTATCTTTGCCTGGAATATTCTATGGACGGAGGAGCCTTACAGGATTATAGCCCATGCAAAGGGTCGGACAGGACTGAGCAACTTTCACAAGGTCACAAAGGTTTTCTCCTCTGTTTATTTCCAGAAATTTGATATGCTTTAACATTTAGGTCTACAATGCATTTTCAGTTAACTTTTGTTTACATTGCAAAGTAAGAGCCAAAGTCCAATATTTTTGCATATGCATGACCCTAGCAGCATTTTTTGAGAAGACTATTCTTCCTCAATGGAATTACTTCTGAAACTTTGTAGAAAATCAACTAACAATATTTAGCAGGTGCATTTCTGGACGTTTCTCAGCTCCCCTGATTCATGAGCCTATCCTTTTGCTAAGACCGCACCATCTACAGCAGCTTCATAGGAAGCCTTAACATCTGGACATGTGAGCTCTCCAACTTTTTTCTCCTTTTTAAAAATGGTTTGGAATAACAGTCCTGTCCCTTTGAGTTGCCATTAAAATTTTAGAAATCGTTTGCCAATTCTTATGAAAAACCTGTGTGATTTTGACTCAAATTGTATTAAATATCTTTATTAACTTGGGGAAAATTGAGTTATCACCTTATTCAGTCTTCCTGTTCCTGAAAAGATCAAACCGCTGTGTTTACGAAAGCGCCCTTTCAGCGTTTCATTCGTGTTTTGTGGTTTGGGCATACAGATCAAGCACATACTGTTAGATTGATACTTAAGGATCTCGAGTTATTTTGTGTTAGTGAAAATGGCTTATTTTTAAACTTCAACAATTGTTCGTTGCTAGCCTGTAGACATGCAACTGATTTTAAAATACTGATTTGCTAACCTCATGAATCTGTTCTAGCAGCTTATTTTGTTCATTCCTTTGGATTTTCTACTCAATTGTGACTAGACATATATAATATATACATATATATATGTATGTGTGTGTGTGTGTGTAATATCTACACAGGATGTAAGCCTTTTATTTCTTTGTCTTCCTTTATTTCATATCTAAGATGACTGATACAGATTTCTGTCCTGTTCCTGATTTTAGGAAAAGAGCATTCAGTCTTTCACCAATAAATACATGTGAGCTATAGGTATTTTATCGATCCACTTCATCATGTTAAGGAAGATTTCTTTTAGTGAATGAATGAATAGTGAACTATGTCAAATTTATTTTTCTGTATCTAGTGGAAAGACCTTGTTTTCTTCTTTAATCTATTAATTTGATACATTACATTGATTTCAAATATTTAAACAGCCTTCCATTTCCTGAATAAATGCCATGTTTTAAAATTTTTACATATTTCTGGGCACAGTTTGCTCATTTTGTAAACAGTATTTGCATTTATATACAGAAGGATGTTGGTCCATAGTTTCACAGGAAGGTTTGCTATCTGGATGTTTCAGTACTGCTGTCCTCATAAAATGAGTTGGAAGCTGTCTCCCAAACCTTTTTATTGTAGAAGAAGTTATGTAAATTTTTAGTTATTCCTTCCTGAAATGTTTGGTAGAACTCACTAGTGAAACTTTCTGGATCTGGAAGATTTTTTTTTTTTTTGGCCATGCTGTGGGGCATGGGGGATCTTCCCTCCCCACCAAGGATGGAACCAGCATCTTCTGCAGAGGAAACCTAGAGTCTTAACCACTGGACCACCGGTGAAGATCCTATTTGAAAAAACTTAAACAATTATGTACTTTAAGAGATATAACACTATTATCCATTTCTTCTCAAGTGATTGGCTTTTAATGTCCTAGGAAACTTTCCTCTGCAAATATTTTAATAGCTCAAATCCTTTTCACCAGTGCCAAATCATTTTTTGCCTGAAGTATCTGCCACACTGCAATATTAGTTTTTCTAGTCTCAGCCCCCATGGAACTATTGTCACCTTTATCATCTACCCGAAATGTAATATTGTTCACATCTCACTCTTTCTTAGCAGTCTTTTAAAGACCCATGCAAATTGCTGAGTATATAAATTCTTCCCAGTATATTAAAAATGGGTCTCTACCAAAAGCCTCCAGCATCATCTCCTCTCACCTTTTCCTAAGGTGAAAATCATGGCCTACAGATGCCAGACTGCTTGTGCTTCTGTGACTCTACTGCATTGCTCGCACTATAGCTTTTACTGTAACTTTTCACCATACTCACTATGAAGACAGTCTTAAGCATTTTCTCTACCCCGACTCACACATATCCTCTCATTCAGAAACCTTAATTCTCTAGGGAGAGACAATTTTCCCTCATTCACTCATGCTGTTTTGTCATAGGTAATTCAGGTATTTACCATATTAGTTTAGATGGTGGTGGTGGTGGTGGTGATGGTTTAGTCTCTAAGTCATGCCTGACTCTTGCGACCCTGTGGACTCTTAGCCTGCCAGCCTCCTCTGCCCATGGGATTTCTTAGGCAAGAATACTGAAGTGGGTTCCCATTTCCTTTTCCAGGGGATCTTCCCAACCCAGGGACTGAACCCGTGTCTCCTGCATTGCAGGCAGATTCTTTACGTCTAGCCACCAAGGAAGGTTAAATACATACACAAACAAAGGAAAGTGAAATTATCTATTTGCCTTCCTAACAAGGCCAAGCTTCTGGAAAACAGTTAAAGTAATACTATATTTCTATTTCAGTCCCTTACTCCTAGCCCAGTGTCTGACCCTAAAGTAATACCCAGTAATGTTTGTTGAACTATTCTGGGTTACAGAGCACTGGGGTGGGTAAATTCTGGTGTTAAGATGTGATTATAATTTATATATCATTATCTAGCATCCCTATCATTAACGAAGCCCTGGCAGTAGCGGAAAGGAAGTAGAGGGGACCCTCTTCTAATCACTCACGATACCCTTTAAGCTCACAGATAACCTTAAACACATGACCAATGTAGACAATAATTTCCCAAGCAGTTATCTATGCACACACACACACCAATTTTTCATGAAATTGCATGAAGTTCATAGAATTCTTGACCTCCATCTGATTTCCAATGTGTACACAGGCTTTCCATCCTGAGTTGTTCAAAAGGATATGAACAGCATCCAATAAGGTCAGATGAGCCAGGAGGGAACGGAAGAAAAAGAATTGAAGAGACCTGAAAGAAGGCAGCTTAGAGCAGATCCAGAAAGTCCGTGTTCAGCATTTGGTGGAGATCATCAGAGTATGTTAAAAAAAAACCGTGAGGCTGCTGGCTTGACTGTCTCCATCGGTGTTCATTGGAGGCTTGAGTGCTCCAGAGGATCATGAGTTTACAGACCCTCCACAGTGGTCCATCAGTGACCGGAGTTAATGTTGCTGACAGAGGTGGAGAATTATTAGGGCCAAAAGCCCTACTCCTTTGAGGAGAAAAACAGTATTTTGAAGAAGAGTGTTTAAGAGCTGTTCCATGACAAGCCTGTGGTGAAAGGAGACAACCCAAATGTGCCGATCTCTGAGGACGGAGGCCATCCTCCACCCCTGCTTCTGGGGCCACTCCTTCCTGCTCTCCTATTCCACTGACTACATCCCCACCAAGCATTCCACTCTTAGTGAATCTCTCCCCTCAGCATACAAATGTACTCAGATAGCCCACTAACAAACATGCCACAAGAAAGAAAAAGAAAAAGCCACACAATTAAAATAACAACAGCAAATAAGCTCCAAAACAGAGTATCCTGAATACAACCTTCTTTCACTCACCTTTCAATTCCCCAAATTCTCTAAGTAATGACGTTAAGTGTGGACTCCCACATCCTTCTCTTCCCTTTTCACCCCTAAATCTACTGCAATTTATCTAGCATTCATGTGAATTTCACTGAAACTGCTCATATGAAGGACACCAATGAATTTGTCAGCTGACCTATTTTATCCCCACTTAAAATATTTTTCAGTTGGGGGGATCCATGATGCCTCTCTACAAAAACTGAATTTTTAGGTTTAAATTTCAGAAAACTTAAGAATGAAGCAATCTACAAGAACAATTTTTTCATTTCACAGAATTTAGTCACATTCCTTAAGAAGTCTCAACATAAGGAGTCTACATAGTTGATTAATCATCAGTTCATAGATCAACAAGGGCACTATTATTTTCTATTTTCAACATTACCACCTTCAGACTATTATCAAGGGGGGGTGTGTGTGTGTTTAGCAAGAACAAAATCATTCCCCATCCAAGGTAAGGAGAGTTTCTCCTCAAGCATTTTTTTTTTTTAGTTGCTCCTCCTAAAGCTATAAATGACTCAAAACCAGGGGAGGAAGGACCCTCACTTTCCTAAACATAATGTCCTGCTTGGCCTTAGGCCCATTGCCCACCCACAAATGAGTCCATCTCATAAGGAAAGAGACCACCCACCGTGATACGCCTGGAATAATGACCACTTTCCAGACTCCTGTAGCCAAGGGATGGACCTACATTTCCAACACCAAAAAGGAAAAAGCAGGAATAATGTTTGTTGGGTGGACAACCAACAAAGTCTGAAGTTTACTTTGTACCTGATTTTGTTTATAGTACTCACTCCTTAAAGCATTCGTATGAATAGAGTTGTTTCGGGCCTCTCTACAGTCAGTTTTTTTGGCCTCAGGGCATGTTCTTAGCTTCCCCCACCAGGGATGGAATCTGAGCCCACTGAGGTGGAAGTAGCAGTCTTAACCCCTGGACCACCAAGGAAGTCCCTCGCCATTTTCTTCCCCTTCCTTTTCACTCACTAGGGTCTGTCTACCAAGTGCACGCTCTTGACTTTGAAATCTACTTTTCTGAGAGAGGTAATAAGCCTGTTCCAACGTATACCTGCTTAGACCAACAAGACAGGAAATCTAAACTGACCACTCCCGGGACACAAAAACACTCACAGGCACACACACAAATGACACACACACAGACAGAGGGGTTCGTTCCAAAACTTTTACTTGGCCTTTCTCCTTTTCTAGTGTCCGCTGAATGTCTTAAGCACTGAGGAGCCGTCTCCCTGGAGTCACTCGGACACAGGCTGGGCACGAGGTCCACGGGGCGCCAGGCGCGCGTCCTCCCAGGCTCACTTGTACGTCTTCATGTGCCACAGCCCGTCATTGAGGTAATGGATGTTCTCGATGCCGATTCCTTTGTTGACTTTCTCGATCTCGTCCGCGGACATCTTCATGACGCCCACGCACAGGGCGTGCTGCTTTCCCTCCGCCATGATCGCCACCACCGTGTCCACTGCGGCGGGGAAGAGGCGGGCCCCCGGCGAGGTCAGGCCTGGGCACATAATGTTGGCTCCGCTGAGCACGAACTTGATGGCTCCCTTGTCCACCTGCTGGCGGGGCAGGATAAACGGATACTTGTGCAGCAGCCTCAGCGTTGGGTAGAAGGGCCCTTCCCTTTGCCTGAAGAAAAGCAGCTCCCCGTTCACCGTGAGGATTTCTATGTGCTCGTGGCATCGCACTATTTTGACCGGATCCTTCTTTGGCATGATTTGGTTCAGCCACGGTTCGATGCCGGGAAACTGCTCCATCAACTGGTTCTTAATGCCCTTAATAACGGAAGTTTTCAACTGGATACAGTTCGACACGTTTTCTTTTTCATCAAATTTCTTGAACATGATGCAGGGGTAAAGAGGACGACCACAGAAAACCCTGGCCGGGAACCGGAGAGAAAACTGAACTACCGAGAATCCGGCGGAGACGCTTACCGAGGGGCGGCTGCCGGAGGGGACGCTCGGCACGGCTGTCGTTAACCGGAAGAGGCGCGCGCTTTACGACCTTCCGGCACACGGCTTTCCGGCACGTTTACTTCCGCCGCCCGGTAGACGACGGCGCGCTCGGCGGCGCGCTCGGGGCCTGCATTCTGGGGTTCTTCTCCGGAGCCGGGCGGGTGAAAGGTCGGGACTTGAGGAGGGAGCGGAGTAAGAGCGGTTATTCTTGCTGCGACAAGAGAAGAATGGGGGAGTGGGCGGCGGAGGGCGGCGTGGGCTGTATTCTTTTCCTGAAACTATTTCCGTCCAGTTACCGCAGCCGGAAACCCGAGGAACCCGGAGCAGTAAGCCCTCCCCCTCTTCCCGGTCGGGGCGAGGAGTCGCGCCCTGGCGGCTACTCCTCTTTGCGGTCTCTCACGCTCTCCGGTGTCGTCTAGCGCAGGCCCGAATACTTGTATACAGTTGCTGGCTGTTCGTCACCTTCCCCGTTCTTTCCACCTGCACTTGGAGAGAAGGGGCTCTGCGCCCAGAAGGAATGCGAATGTTATGGTTAGGATTTCGGTCCTTTTTCAGTTCACTTCAGTTCAGTCGCTCAGTCGTGTACAACTCTTTGCGACCCCATGGACTGCAGCACTCCAGGCCTCCCTGTCCATCACCAACTCCCGGAGTTTACTCAAACTCATGCATTGAGTCGGTGATGCTATCCAGCCATCTCATCCTCTGTCGTCCCCTTCTCCTGCTTTCAATCTTTCCCAACATCGGAGCCTTTTCACATGAGTCAGTTCTTCACATCAGGTGGCTAAAATATTGGAGTTTCAGCTTCAACATCAGTCCTTCCAATAAACACTCAGAACTGATTTCCTTTAGGATGGACTGGTTGGATCTCCTTGCAGTCCAAGAGACTCACAAGAGTCTTTTGAACATCACAGTTCAAAAGCATCAATTTTTCGGCGCTCAGCTTTCTTTGTAGTCTAGCTCTCACATCCGTACATGACTACTGGAAAAATCATAGCTTATTTTAAACAAATCTAAACTCGTCTTCCGGCTCGTAATACTGTCTCTTTGGTGAATGTAACGGTGCTTCTGAAAAGAATAGGCCTTCTCCTTTATTTGGGTCCAGTGAATCTCTATTCTTACTGATTTTCTGTGTACTTCTTTTGTCGATTTCTGAGCAGAATGTTGAAATCTGCATTTGTGGATCGCTTTCCCTTTTCAGTTCTATCAGATTTGGATTCATAGATCTTGAGGCTCTACTGTTAGGTCCGTACTCCATTTCAGATTAAAGTGGAAGTAACCCTGTTAATTAGGATTTTATCCACTTAGGTTCTGCTTATTCTAGGAAATATAAAGCCCATGAGGGTAGAAATTATATATTTTATCTCTGTATGTTTTCATCCAGCACAAGATCTGATTCATGCTACAGGCTACATATGCAGTAATTGGCGGATGAATAAATGAAAGAATCTCTCCCCTCCCCTAAGACTTGGTCCCGTTGTTTCCCAGACAGAGCTTTGTGAAGAGACTAAGAGCAAATCCTGGCTCTGTGGGCACTTCTCTCTAGTAAACATATGCTTTATTTGGGAAGCCTGCACTGTGGCAGAATTGTAACAGGTACTAAGTATATAGTGGAAATAACGTTTCCTCATTCTTGAGAGCTTATATCACGAGGTTTTGTGTGTGTGTGTGTAATTATTGTAAGAAATTGTCTCACACAATTATGGAGGCTGAGGAATTCTTAGAGGATCTAATTCTTCTAAGAGAACAGTTGTCTTTTTTGTTCTTGATAGTCCCATGTTACCAGGTGTGAAGTCCTGTGTCTGAGCAGCAGAAACCAGATATTGAAATTCAGAGGAGGGAAAGTCATTACTGGCCAGAATGACCAGGGTGACTGTCTGTAGATGCGAAATAGCTTAATCAGAAATGATTGGACCTGGACCCAGCTATCAGAGGAACTCCCAAGGGATTTTATAGTGAAGCTGTTTTAGGCAAAGGACTCTAAAAATAATGTCTAGTTTGGAGTTTCATAGCAATGAAAAGTCTTTTTGAAGTTAATTTATCATTCTTATCTGAAATTGTACTCTTAAATCCATACCATTTAATTCTTCCCCAGGGTGCACTTTTTCTTAGCCTGCAAGCATCTATTTGCTGTCTGCCACGATAAGGTCCACGAAGGGCTAGATTTTGCTTCTAAATTCAGTTAAAATGAAAAACTTCTTTTTAGACTTGCAAAAAACTCACCTCTGAAATCACAGGGCCTGGTTCTTTATAGAATAATCTCAGTCTTTGAGGCTGGCATACATTATCATATTATAAAATATGATACACAAATTTGCTTTAAACTTACTAATATGTTAAAACATGACTTTTATGCTTCAGTTCAGCTTAGTTGTGTCCAACTCTGCGGCCCCGTGGACTGCAGCACGCCAGTCCCACTGTCCATCACCAACTCCCGGAGTTTACCCAAACTCATGTCCTTTGAGTCAGTAATGCCATCCAAACATCTCATCCTCTGTTGTCCCCTTCTCCTGCCTTCAGTCTTTCCCAGCATCAGGGTCTTTTCAAATGAGTCAGCTCTTCGCATCAGGTGGCCAAAGTATTGGAGTTTCAGCTTCAACATCAGTCCTTTCAATGAACATTCAGGACTGATCTCCTTTAGGATGGACTGGTTGGATCTCCTTGCAGTCCAAGGGACTCTCAAGAGTCTTCGCCGACACCACAGTTCAAAAGTATCAATAATTCAGTGCTCAGCTTTCTTTATAGTCCAACGCTCACATCCATACATGACTACTGGAAAAACCATAGCTATGACAAGATGGACCTTTGTTGGCAAAATAATGCCTCTGCCATTTTTTTTTTTTAAATGCCTCTGCTTTTTAATATGCTGTCTAGGTTGGTCATAACTTTCCTTCCAAGGAGTAAGCATCTTTTAATTTCATGGCTATAGTCACCATCTGCACTGATTTTGGAGCCCCCAAAATAAAGTCAGCCACTATTTCCCCATCTATTTGCCATGAAGTGATGGGACCGGATGCCATGGTCTTAGTTTTCTGAATGTTGAGCTTTAAGCCAACTTTTTCACTCTCCTCTTTCACTTTCATCAAGAGGCTTTTAGTTCTTCAGTTTCTGCCATAAGGGTGGTGTCATCTGCATTTCTAAGGTTATTGATATTCCTCCCGGCAATCGGCAATCTTTATTCCATCATGTGCTTCATCCAGTCCATTATTTCTTAATGATGTACTCTGCATATAAGTTAAATAAGCAGGGCGACAATATACAGCCTTGACGTACTCCTTTTCCTATCTGGAATCAGTCTGTTTTTCCGTGTCCAGTTCTAACTGTTGCTTCCTGCCTGCATACAGATTTCTCAAGAGGCAGGTCAGGTGGTCTGGTTGTAGGGTAAGGGAGTTAGAGAAGGCGAGGTTGGAAAAAAGAATGAGATCAGCACTTTACAGGTACAGATCACCTTTAATGAGGTGAGAAGGGGCAGCAATCAAGATTAGTGAGCTGCTGCAGTAACCCAAGAAAAGAGTAAGTATATATAGGCATATATGTGGAAAGCTACTGTCTTAAGGGGGCCTGTTCTTCTCTAAGGTTGTTCGGAGTAGTTATCTCTTGAATGGCTGGGGCAAGAAATTCTGGAGATTGGCCAGAGGCTGTGAGATGGGCATAATCAACCTTTAATGTCCATTTTTTTTCTTCAGGTGAGAGAGTTCTTTGTTTTGCATAGAATGGTGGGGAGGACCTGGAGGGGATTTTTAACTCCAGGCCATTTTGAGCACTGTAACCTTCCTTCATTCCAGACCTTAAGGAATATATATAAAAAGAGAAAGAGAGGTGGGCATCGCTAATGTTCAGGGCTTCTTCGTGGTGATAAATGAGGGTCAGGGGTTTGTGGTCTGGGAGGATAGTGTTGATTTTCTATTGTAGCCGTCAGGGTCTCAAGCAAAAGAACAGTTTTGACTTGGTCTCAGGAAATGGCTCAGATTTGGTCTTGGAGGAATCCCTGGAAAAGATTAAACAAACAAGGTTCAAAGGTGAGTAGGAGGATGTTAAAAATGAATGGTCCAAGGAGGCGTAAAACCTAAAGCTTGCAGTTCCAATCTGTTAACCATGACTGCCAGGAGTTGTTTAATCTCTGGTGGATTCTTGAGGCTCGATCTGTGAGGTTTTTTGCAGCTCCTTGGACAATACCCAACTGGTTGGCATAGAAACAGCAGGATTCGTCTAGAAAAAGGCACAGACCTCCCTTCTCTGCGTTGAGTAGGTCTAATCTTCTCTTCTGTAAAATGCGATGGCCGCTAAGGAATCTAGTTGACTTTGGATAGTTATTAGGCCTGCCTTGAGCTATTTTCCTGGAGGCTGTCTGATAGGTCTTTAGAGAGTGTCTGGTAGTTTTGGATGGAGGTGGTTAAGCCAGCAGTTCCTTTTCCAATTCCAGCCGGTATTCCTAGCCCTACTAGGAGGGGAATGAAATGAATGGCTCATTTTATTCACTTGTGGATGAGAGGAATAGGCAAGGGTTGATCATTGGTGGCTGTTAAAATGTTTGGACTGGAGTATACCAGGGTGCAGGTCCTGGTCCAATTAGTAGGTAGACAGGTATGTAGACATCCCACACAGGAAAAATAGGGCACGTGTCGTAATACAAAAGCTGAAGTTGATGGCGAAGAGGAGTCAAGGGGGGGGGTTTTGATCGTTCGTTCAAGGATACTCACAGACCCCACAAAGGTGGCCCCAACAATGGGAGAAGTGGAGGGATATGCTGAGGGAAACCGCCCTGAAAAGGTTAAAGAGTGTCCTGTAGGACCAGAAACATTATATATAGCCTTTCCAGTGGCAAAGAGTTAGGTGGAGGTATGGTCGCACATGGAGTTAGGGATTGTGCCCGCGGGTTGGTCATATGAACT